GGCAAAACGGAAAAATGCAGGAAAATTCTACGAAATTTGATAAGCAATTTTTCGTCTATGTATTCTTAGCGCAGCAAAACAAAACGCAGAAGGAAAAACAGAGCAAGAACAAATATCCCAGGGGAGATGAAATTGTTGCCAGGAAAAACAGAAAACAGAAAAAAAAGACAAGAAAACTGTACAAGAAAATGTTAATTTCAAGTACAGAGCTCTTTAAACGACTTTCATTAAAGTAAAAACTTAAATACATAAAAATGTTATACTAAATTTAGTAAATTAATTAAGCTAAAGGGAAACATAAGCTGGCTGTTATTTTTCCTACCAAACTATGTGCCAGCTCAACAAGAAAATCCTCCAAGAAAGATGAAAGAACTTCGTTTTGGGTCCCCTAAAAATTGCTGGATATTCATTTTCCTTCTATTTTCCTTTTCTAATACCAACATTCAGCAACTTCATTGACTTTCCCTTCTCTGAAATGTCCGTACATATCTTTTCATCTTGTCGGCCTTATCTTTATCTCTATGTCATCGTCGGCTGAGCGACCGCAACAAGCGCATATGACATATGGAAACTGTTCTCGACTTTCCCTTTTAGCCAGCCATTTCCAACTATGACCCGTAGAAAATTTTCAAATTTAATTCAATTAGTTTTTCGTAGCTTTCGCTTTTTGCGGTTCTCGTTTTTATGAGCAATTTAAGTAATGTTGTACCGACATAACCTCAGTGCCGCTGCCCATCGCCCGTATTTGCCTGCAAATATTTAGAGAAAATATCTGGGCCCGAGACCCCCGGCCTATTCTGTGGCTGGCCGAAAGGAAGCAAACCAGAGTTGGCCAAAAAATGGCCAAGAGAAATGAGTTGGCTTTTAAAGTCGATAATGGGTATACTCTAGGATGAGTTTTTATATGGAAAAACTTTGAATATTCTGGGAAAATATCAGAAATTAACTACAACTATTTTTAAAATCAAAATTGGAAGAGTGAAAACTTGGAATAACTCAAATTCTTTAAGAAAATCCTTGTAACATCCTCAAAATATAAATACCCCTTCGTTAGGGTATGAAAATCGAAAGAGAAATGCCTGCATGAAGGGAAATTTAACATGTGTTCGTTGAGGATTTTCGGGATGGGCGATGGCAGCGACTTGTAGGCGGTATCTGACGAGCTCATCTTGTGGTTTTTAAGTGCTCTAACGGCATGTGCCGCCCCCTTTTTTCCGGCCTCCTCCTTCTCGTACTCGTCGTCGTTGTCTCCCTTTTTTGCTTTTTTTTTTTTGGTGATTTAAGAAAATTGATGGCTTGCTCTTGACATGACTTGCCAATGGACCAATGGACGAAAACCCCAAAAAAAGCCCCAAACCCAAGGGCGTGACAATGCCAAAAGGAAAAGGAAGTCGCAGCAAAAAAAAAGAGAGGAAAATGGAAGGAGGAGGTGGAGGAATGGGCTTCTTAAAAATTCATAGATTTGATTTGCTTGTAGTGAGTATAAAGATGTTTGCAGAATCCCCAAAAGGATTAGAGAGCCCAAGACAAGCAGCAAATTGCCACAAGAATATGCCACGGCTTCGGGGATTTATTTGGAGAGTCGTAAAAATGTGACAATAAAAATTTGCAAGGAGACTCGTAAAAAAACAACAAGAAAGGAACCAGCTTTGATTTATTACACGCTCGACAAGAGATGTAAACATGGAAAAATCAGCGAAATAGGTAAGAAAATTGTATTAAAAACCAGAAGCTTTTAGGATTTGCTTTGAATTCTTAAATTATTATTAAATTAAAAAGAAAAGGCATTTAAAAATCACTTAAAAATAATAGATATTCCACTTATTAATCTCCATTTAAATTTCAGTTTCTTTCTTTCTTGAATCTCCTCTTAACTCTATATATATAAATCTGAAGTGTTAATTAAGCTCGCTACATTTGCAATGGAAATGAAGTTTGAGGCATTTCCCTCCCGGCTAACGCTTTTCGGGCTTTCCCAGAGCGGAAATTAGCTCACTGAAGAGCCTTCGACCCGGATTCAGTCAACACTTTCACTTTCACTTTGATTGCTCGCCGGGAAAAGGGGTTCGAAATTCGCTCACGCAATGCAATTGTGTCAACTCAGTGGGAATTCCCTACCTCCCTACCTCCCCACTCTCGTAAAAATAAAAATAAAAATAAAAAAGAAATCCCTTTGACTAGATTTAATTAAATACAGCGCGGGACTATATATATACAAAAAAGAAATAACGAATTTTCAGCATTTTTACGCTTGCGTTTAATTAGAAGAGCCACGCGAAGGGAGTGAAAAGGGCTAAGCTAAGGCGGCCACGTGGCGTATACGCAATGCGCCAAAATAATAGGAAACAAAAAAAAAAAACAAAGATATATAGAAAAGCGAAAGCTCACTGAGAAATCGGTGTCATGTTAATGACCGATTAGCATGGCGTGTGTGCACCATTGGGGCTTAAGTCTTCTCTTCGCCTCGGAGAACTCGTCAGAGTTGGACAACGTGAACTGTGACCTGTCAGCTACACTCCAAAAACGCACTTCCCTGGCGGTGAAAGGTTACGGCTCAAGTTACGGCATAGTTTAATTGAAAACTCAAGAGGGGAGCAGGGAAAAATGGCCATCAAGGAAAGTCATTTCCTGTCAATTACTAAGGTTGAGGAATTTTCATGTAATTAAAGTACGTACTGAGACATAGACTTTAAAATACTTTGATTACGTTTTTGTTAAGTTAAAAAATTAAATTCTTAAACAAACACCTAAATAATATTTAATTTACTTTACTAGTCTTGACCCAAATTAGTGCTATATTTTTGCAGATTTGCCTTGGCCAAGCAGCAACTGCAAATTTGGTTAATTTCTTGTGCCATATTTCCTTCCGGTTTCTTTTTGAGCTTTCGCCCTGGGAACTGACCTAAGCGGATTTGTCCACATAACAAATTAAAATGTGGCACGCACAAGGAAAGCCCATCGCAATTTTCACCGCCCAACGAATGGGCGTTTTCGCATTTTCGCAGGCATCATCATCATCGTCGTACCGCAAAAATGGAAATTTTGTGTCGCATTCCAAGGAAGTTCATATATATCATGTAAGTTTGGCTTCTTTTTTTTTCGTTTTTCTTTTTGTGGGTGGTGGTAGGTGCTATATACATAGTCGTTCAAAGATATATATATACACATATAATGGTTAAAGTAAATTGGATTTCGCTTTATGCAAATTTATGCGCACAGATTGAGTGACATTAATGGATGATGAAGTCGCCAGCCATGACTGAATCGCAATCGCAGCAATCGTGTAGAAGGGGGGGGAGATGGTGGCCAGGCGGGCGCGCCTTGGGGCCAAATCTTACTACCCGCCCAGAAGAGAGGTAGGTGGAGGCCGCGAACGTGCTTTTACTATGACCACAAAACCTGAACCACTCAAAGCTACCCTCCGCCTTCCCCAACTATCAAAAACAGGGTTACTGCAGAATTGTGGCTTACAAAAAATATGAAAAACTGCAAAGGCTACAACCTTTTGACAACTTTTTGGTAATACAATGTTATAGATTTAAGGAAGAAATATTATAAACTTCATTTTTCAAATCTCTTTTACAGGTTTAAGGCTTTACCTTACTTTCAAAATTCCCAGATTTACGGCTAGAGGACGTACACTACCTTCTGGCCGGAAAGAAAGTACCCTGCCAGGATGGCCCCTAAATAAACATATTCAACAAATTGCAATCAAAAGCTGGTGGTGCTGGCAAGGGACAAAGTGAAAGGAAGAATTTTCGGCTTAATTAGGAATGAACACAACACACAGAGGGGGAAAAAGAATGTGGGCCAGTGGGTTTTTATACGAGGGGCGAACGAAGAGCTTGCTCATTAAGCTGTTGTTGCTTTATGGCCATTTAAAACATTTATGGCCAAGAGCGTTTGAATGACAGGTGCGATGGCAGCAGCAGCAGTAGCAGCAGCGGACAACCTTGCCCATTATGTGCCTCCTACAATCTCCACCTGCACCTGCCACCCACCCCTCCCGAAAAACCAGTCACCGTTTTTAATTGTGTGTTTACAGGGGGAAGCAGCAAGAACAACAAGGACATTGTGATCCTGATTGCCACTTTCCAAATGGCATTCTCACAATTTAATTTTTAATGTCCGCCTGTTTGTGAGCTTCTTTTTTATTTAATTTATTCATTTACTTATAGTTTTTTTGCTGTTCCGGCCTGCGGAGATGTTTTGTTTATTTTTGTGATGAAATTTAATTAGTCCCGCTTGCCTTATTTTGTTTTTGTTTTGATTTTAGACTGAAAAGAAATTAGCGTTTAAGCAGGGCTAAAAAGTAAGCTCTCTCTGAGGGAAATTTTATGATTTTTCCTCATTTTAAACTCCATAGCCTTCGGACTAATTGAGAGTTCTGGCAGACCTTCAAAGCTAATCGAATTGATTTATTTTAATTTGTGTTTTTCCATTTTTATGCCTCGCAGAAAGGCGTCACGTTTCCATTCATTCAGCATAGCAAATTCAATTTACGCTCATTACGAATGGCGACACACAGGTCAAGCCGGCCACGCCCACCTTTCGTTTGGCCCGACCCGCAAAGGAATGGCCATAAAAAGCACAAAGCAAAAGCGCTTGAAATTGGACCCTAAAAATGGTAAAAAAAAAAATAAAAGAGCCAGACCATAACGAAAAGCGAAATAGCGAATCATTAAATACTCTCTAAGGTTAACAGAATTTCATTTTCTACCTTAAAAGTTTATAATTTAAGTTAAAGAAGTATTTTTAAAGGCATTGTAAAGGGTATTTCCTATAACCCAAGATATTAAGCATCCTCTTAGGGCATTACCACAATTTTTTAAAAGGGTCTTAATCCGAAAAAAAAAAAAACCGTAAAAAGAGAATAAGGTAATACATTTGAAATAAAGACCAAATCGAAGGCCATAAAAGGAACGTCTTGGGTGGCAAAATGTAGGGACACGGGGCACTTTGAGCCGCCGTGGGTGGTAAATAAAATTTAATATAATTACCTCCATTTGGGAGCCCTTCTTGCCCATGGAGCCACCGCCACCCGTGTGGCCGCCGCTCTGTGCGGCATTCATGGTGGCGCCTCTCTTCTATCTGTAACACCAACTGTTTTTGTATTTCTTTATTTGTATTCGATTCTGCAACAGTATCTGTATATCTGGATCTCCGAAAACGGTTAGTATCTGCGGTCGATTCTGGTTCTAGTTTATTATGCCAAAAGTGTATCTCTGGCTGGCCGCCTTAATTATTATTGTCGGGCGATAAATCCTTCGTCGTCCACTGGCTACATACACCTCCGACAGGCCACCACCACTTCGAGTTGGCCAATTGAAATTTATGTGTAATTTGAGTTCGTTTTTTATTCGCACTCTGTATTAAAGTTTCGTTAAAAGATTTATTGCATTATTTCGAGTATGGTTTATTTGATTTTGGGTTGCTTTTGCCGTCGTCTATCTGCTGGCCCTGCACTTTGGCACGCACCAAAATTATGCCCCCTCAATATTTGTTACACTTACAGAAAATTTATAACTCGTTTTAATTCCTAATTATAGCTATTAAGTAACCTAAATGGTTTTTGTAAAGATTTTAGTTTGAAAACTGCAAAAAGTTTATGCTGCGCTCAAAAGTAGGCAATGAAATGTTTTACTGCCTAAAAACTCTTACAATTTTCCATTACCATTTAATTTCCTACGTTTTTCCCTCAGTGTGACTGCAATTTGGGAAAGTTTCGCTGACAGCTCCTTCATGCTAATGATACACAACTAACTGAGGGATCTGGGGTATCCGAGGGACTTATGGCAACGCTGTTCGCTGGATGCTGCGAATGAGATACTTGAGCACGTCGTCCGCCTTTAATACAATGTCTATGCTGCTGGGCGCAGAACAGAAAAAAAAAGAAGAAAAAAAAACACACAGAGGGAAACTCAAGCTGAAGTTGAAACTTAAATAAGCCAACAGCTGAAAACAAAAACAACAACGACAATGAGGACAGTTCTGTGTGTGCGGTTAATGTAACTATATACGGCCACTTGACGTCCTTGCCAACATATCGCATGACTTGTCATCCAGTGGATAGGATGGGCGGTACAAGATGGCAATGGTTGTGGATCTAAAGAAAAGAAGGGGGAAAGGGGAAAGATTCGATGTCCTTTAAAATGCCGCAAAAGTTGCCCACAAGCCAGACAATCGAACAGGGAAAATGTAACTAATAAAATTTTATGGAAAAGGATATTCCAAGGTGGTCTGAGAAAAGGTTAATCTTGCAAGAATTTAATTTAATATTTTGATCTAATTGGGTAATATTTAACGAATGTGCCCTACGAATATCAAAGTTATTTCATAGAATTTCTCTATCTTAAATGGTAAAATATCTAACTAATTTCTTGATCCTTTTTATTTAAATGACTTTTAAGTTAATATTTCCTGCAAAGCCTAAACTTTGACCTAATAAATCATCATACATATGCAAACTAATATTCCCAAGAAGACTTCCGCAAACTTGTCACAAAAAAGACCCCTAAACTCAGTGTCATTGTGTTTACCATGGAAAGTTAGCGCGAGTTGTGCTTGGTTAGATGTGGAAAGTTTTCGGTAGATAATTCAATAAGAGATTCGCATGCATTTGCTTTAATTTCATTTCGTTTTTCGAAACTTTCCAGGGCCATGCGATCTTTTTTCTTATGTATTTTTTTTTTTTTTTGAAGTTTTCCATTTGTGTGTTAATGCCACAAGATGACAGGAAATTTTAATAAACTTCGTCTCGTGTGTGTGTGTGTCGGGCATAGAAATGTGTGTTCAAAAGAAACTTTCGGATGAAAGGAGCGGGAAAATATATATGTATGGATATAAAAAAAAAAGAGGAAGAAATGAGGGAGACCACACCAGAGACCAGAGGCGAAAAGTGAAAGATGATGAAGGCAATTTATTCGAACCCTTAAGCCTTTGATGGGCATGGGAAATGGGGGTCATGGTGGGAGTTTCTGGGACTCTAGACAATGCTCACATATGTGAGAGCCAAGCCGAAGGCCTAATTGCTGTTGTTTGTCTGAGCCAACCAGGCAGCCAGCCAACCAGCCAACCAACCAGCCAGTCAGCCTTCTTTTTCTTGGCCTATTAATTTGCCTAAAAGTTGGCTTTGGGCCACAGGGATGAAATTAGAGATAGAACGAATCGCTTTGTTTTTATGCATTTGCTACGTGATTTAATTAGTTGACGCTGTTTGGCAAATTACCCGAAGCCCGACTTTTGGCTAATTACCAGGGCATTATTAACATATTGCCATTGCCAAAGGGAACGGATATAGGCTAAAGGGAGCTAAGGACTAAGGACTAAGGACTACAATGATAAGCATCTAACGATAAGCAGCTAGCACATTGTGTCTCTATTCGGCTTCTATTTGCTATGCAAATATTGGCCAAAGACAAAGTAACCGATTCCAAAGCCAGACAACGCCAATTCCCAAATAAATAAGGTAAGGCCTCAGCCATCAGCCATCAGCATTCAGCATTTTACCATTTGGCGGTGCCAAAGAGGACAAAGAGTACAAAGTACAGGAGTACAAAGTATATATAAAGGCAAAAAAAAAATACAAAAAAAAAATAAAGGACAAAGGGAGGCCCACAAAAGGACCAAGGACGACGGTGTTTTACGGGCTCTTGGGGCAATCAGCACGCAGCCAAACGAGAGAGAAATCAAAGATTTGCCAATCGGAATTCCTCAGCAATTTGTGTCGACTTTTTATTTTAGCAATCTCTCTGTGGTGTGTCTGTGTGTGCCAAGGATGGCAACAGGCTAAATCCCTCAGTTTCCCCAGTAAGTAAATAGCGGCAAAAGCAACCACGCGGCGTATACTTGATTTCTAGCTCACTGCAATATCTACTCTGCAGGGCTTTTATTATTATTGTTTATTTTGTTTTATCAGTTTAAGTGATTTAATTAGTCAGCCCTTTGTACCTACTATTTTTGTGTATTAAAAAATTAATAATCTGATAAGTTTTCACTTTAAATAAGTTGCTAGTTTCTGAGAAAACATAATTTAAAATATTTTAAATAATTTTTAACAAATTTGTACATTTTACAACTTTAACTGTTTGAAATATTTATCATTTTACCAACAAACTATTTAAAGCATTTAACAAAAATCCCATTTAAAACGCATTTAAACAAATGTTTCGAACTTTTTAATCTGCTGAGTTTCTCTTAAATCTTTTCCCCTCACAATCACAGCTCCCTTCTCCCCTTGTTAATTCCTTGTTATGGCCTTTTTTATGCGTTTTTTATTGGATTACTTTACGGCTTCGGTTGGCCAATTGTCAATTAAGCAATTTGCGCATTTTTATTTCACACTCACAGAATTTCCGCTTGAATAATAACACCAAAAAAAAAAAATAGGAAGAAAAATATAAAAATATTCAACGGGGCGTGGTTGATTAATTAACGTTGAATTTTCAAAGAATTTTCACAGCGTTCTTTTAAATCTGAATTTATCTATTTTTTTTTTTTTTAGGAAAATATATGTGGGGACGCTTAGAGAGGACGGGCAACGACGATCGCCGACGAAGAGATGCGCCAGGATTTTAAGAAGGAGCAACGACGAGAGGACGAGCGACGCGATTTCCGCTCGCGTTTTTTCCGTGCGACTTCAGCGATGCGACTTTAGCAGCTGGCGTTTTGGGCAGAACTGAGCGAAGACGCTGCGGAAAATCGGAAAATCGCACACGCACATGTCCGCGCCAGTTGGCCATTCGACATTTTCCGAATTATCGCAGCAGCCACGCGCGCTACTAAAGCTTTCAAAACATCCGCATGAAAGCTGCCTGCCTGTTTGTGGCACGCAAGCTTTCCGCCGTCACGTGGAAATTTTGTGGGGCAGCGCCAGGGAAAATGCGGAAAGCGGCGAGCAAAACAAAATCGCCAAAAGCAAAATAAAACCGAAATTTCAAAAAGTTTTCTAAGGGAAATATCAAGAAATTCTGTCTTACAAATTTAGATTTTTAGAGATTTTAAAAATATTTCTTATATTTTTGCTAAAAAGTCCTTAAAAGGCCTTAAAAATATTTCTAAAACCACAGAATTTTCCTTCATTAATAATCCACATCCTTAATATAGTTTGCAATTTTGTTAAGCCCTAAACAAGCCAAAAACTTTTCTTTAAAAGTCTAATGACAGAACGTGCCTAATGAGGTTGCTTTTTCTGTTGTCGTTACTTTTAAAGTTTTTCCCATCCAGCATTTTCTTTTTTAAGTTTCCATCGGAGTCAGCAAAAGCAATGAATGGTGAAGACGATGGACATTTTATACAAAAGAAAGTCATTTTGAAAACTTTACTGACAGGAAAATGTCAAAAATATTTTAAAAGTTTCCCAGCTAAGTTTTAGAAATTAATTTACTATTATGTATCTTCTTTAATTTTTTTTTAAATTATTTTAAGATATTTTAAGAAATATACTTAGCTAAATATTGTCTTCCATTAAAAGATTAATGCACTTTGTGATTAAATCGCAATGTCCTTTGCCAGCATGGAAAATAAATGCAATTAATTACAGCCTTTGGCTTTTCTAGGCCCCAGGGTTATTACGAAGTCGATTACCACCCATTTTCCCAGCGCATACGTGTCCTTATTAGTGTATTTTTTTTTGGGACTCTGTCAGAGGAATGAATAATGTGCACCTGGGCGGAAAGAAGGGGGAATGGAAAATGGGGTTGGAAAATAGCATCTGTAAGAAAAAACCCAGGAGGACCAAGGGTTAACCAAAGCCGTTGATCAAACGCCGCTGTTTGTTCGTTTGTTTGTTTGTCTTGACTTCGCGTCCATTTAGCATATTTCATGCTGCTTCGTCCTTCGTCCTGGGCCATGAAAAATCCTTTATGGCAAGTGAATGGAATAACCAAGCAGCTGAATGAAAGTCATTGCCGACATAAAACAGAAAGAAAAAACAAAACAAAGAACACGAAATGCTTTCCGCTTGCTTAGCCTGGCCAAGTTTTTTCTTTTCAGCTAATGTCTAATAAGCAATTTCCCCCTTTTGTTTTTTTCCTGTCAATTGAAAGATTTTCCTTTTTTCTTTTTTTTTTTTTTTACAAATGATTCTTGCTGGCAAAGTTATTTGCAAAAAAAAAAAAAAAAAACCCTACCTCGCTGTGAAAAGTGAAAACTCAGCAACAGGCCCGCGGCCAAAAGTCGAAAAAGTCGAGGGGGTCATAAATTTTGTTTCGCCAACAGCTTTTCAATGCCATTTTCCGAATGCAGTGCAAAAACCACACACAACGCTGTGTGCAACGCTGCGTATGCTTAATACTCCAAAGCGAAATGATTTATGCACTGCACGAAGAAAAGCAACAGAAAAAAAAGCGACAAGGAAAACGAAAGGAAGCGCAGAAGAGAATGTGGAAAATGGGAAACTGTGGCAGCGGGAAACTTGCTATTTTGAATATGGTTAGCTTTTCTTGAGGATCCTAAGCTCTTGAAAGCTGGGCAGGTTCTTTGAGTCGGTAAAAGTTAAAAGTTTGGTTAGCAGGATTTTCAGAAGGCTTTTAAGCTGTCGTTTTGATCAGCTTAAAGTTTGGCCTTAAGGATAACAGCTTTTGAGCTTTTATTGCAGCTTTCAGGACTTCAAAGGAAGTTGCTTTTGTAAGCACTTTGAATTTAAATTCAAATTGGGATTTAAAAAGGTGCCGTAAAGTGGAACTAAGAACTTAATTTCCCTGCCTTATGTAGAAAAAAATCACTCATTCTTCAAATTTAACAATTTTGGTCTTTTTTATGATAAAGGCAAACTAAAAACATTGCAAATCTGTTAGAATCAATTAATATTTTATCTTCAAAAGGCTAAAAATACATTAGCTCATGTATGTAGGAACTTAAAGTAGCCAAAACTTGCAAAAACAGCACAAAAAGGATACTATTTAAGGACATTTAAAGACCATCCCCCGGAACACATGATTAGAAAAGCCAGCTAGTTTCATTCACCCTACTTTGCACTGCTAATTGCCACTACTAAGGGTTTGCCAATTTGAAATTAAAGTTTTAATGTCACTGAACTGAGAGCTCCCTCCGGCCAGCTTATCCCCCACTGATGTGCGTTTTCCTGCTGGCGTTGTCTCATCCGGAAAATGAAAACAAAAAAGAAATGGAATCAACTCCCCGAATGACGACTGCCATCAACTGCAGCAGTTTAATTGCAAATTGCAGGGAACTCGCCTCGTCGGGCAATTACAAAATGGTGGAAGGATGGGCAAGCGGAATTAAATCAAATCTCGGAACGAACTGAGAGCTCATAACTGTGGGCCAAAATGGGTTAAGCAGACCTGTGCACAGAAAGAATCATCTTGGCTAAAACACCAAATCTTAGACCCATTTAAGTTTCCACTACAAGGATGTTATAGAAACAGGTATGCAAAAAGTAAAGTAAGGAAGAATTTCAAATAAAAACTTAACTTTTTGATAGTTTTCCCTCAGTGCAATGGGTTGTTCTCCCCATTTGGCTGGGGCATAAAGACATTCGTTGGACTGCTTGTTGCACCCACGGCGGAAAAGCGACACTGAAAATGCATTTTCCATGAGCGGGACTCATCATCATCCACCACCGTAACTATACCCCATCCTCTACCATCCGCATCTGCAGCTGCACCATCATCGTCGTCGTCTTCATCATCGGGCACTTGTCTGTTGCTCTTGTACCGCGTTTCTATTTCTATTTCTATTTCCATCCTAGCCGGCATCCTTTCCATCCTTTGCCAACTTCCGCAACGCTGACGCACTGTGGTGTATGATTATGCACTGGCAGAAAAAACTAACATGAATTTGTAGAATTTCTTAAGGAATTTTTTGTTTAAGTTTAAAAGGAAAATCCATAAGAGATTTATATGTTACATTGCAAGTACCTTTGCCATTTATTCCTTTTTTTCTTTCAGTGCATGCCGGGGTATTGGGATGTTTTTATGGGGGATGGTTAGCGACTTCCTTTCCGCTTGCGTAGGTGTTTCGCTCGTGGCCATCTTCTGGCCTTAGTTTGCCATTTTTCTTCATCTTTTGTGAGCGCTGATGAATTCGTTAGACGCCACCCCCTTTAACCATACTGTACTACAACCTCCCCACCCGCCCACTTAACCAACCCGCCCCCATGGTCGCACCTTTGGGGCAATCGTGCGCAGGTTGTAAACAACAGGCGGGTTGAAGGCAAGGAAAAAGAATGGAAACAAAAACCGCAGTAAGTGAACATTTCAGTGCCGCATCCTTGACGTCAAAGGCAGCAGCAGCAGCGGCAGCAGCAACAACAGCAGCAGGAAAATGTGGGAAAATCAGGAGCAGAAGAAAGGCATCAGGAGATGAAGCCGCCACAAACCGCAGGATTGCAAACTGATGACATGCCACAGGAATCCCGCCATTGGTTTTCGAAAGACTCCCATTCGGAAGGTAAGAGATTAATCGTTAAGGAAATCATAAACAAAGCAATTAAGATTCCAAAACCTAAAATAGTTTCCATATCAATTTAATAGCCAATCACCTTAGATTTGCCTTAAAAGTCTCAGACTTTAGAATACCAAAAAAAAAAAATGATGTCCTGGCTAGCTCTGCTAATCATTTTATTAATGATTTTTCCACAGTTCGAAATGTCCCCAATGGCCATTTATCTGGATGATGGTGATGCCTCTGAGATCTTTGGTTCCCAAGAAACTAAGGAGAAGACGCAGCTGAATTGGGACCAGGAGGAGGATCAGGACACGAATATGGATCAATGGCAGGCGGATGCCTGCATGCAGGACTCCCAAACGGGGATTTGCCCCGCCGAAAATCCACATGATGTGAAATATGAAAAGGGAAGTTGTGGCAAATATCCCAAGAAAAACAACAAAGATGAGGACGATGATGAAGACGCTGACCCGGGTGCCATTAGCGATGATGACGATGATGATGATGACGACGATGAAGACGATGACGATGATGAGTGCAGTGCCGAAGGTAGTGATATCCATCTGGACGATAAAGCCTTAGTGAACAGGATCAATTGCTTGATGGGATCCCTTCACAAGCACACCAAAGCCATGGTCGATAACCTCAAGATCCTTGAATCTCAATTGAGTCCCAAGAAAAACTCGGCATACAGGAAAAACACCAATCTTGGTAGAAAAAGTCTGGGAAAACCAATTGATAAATGGTCACGAAACTCGGATTTCTATGGTGAGCATGATCCGAGTGCTCAAGAGAAATGCATTGCCCAGGACAATGTGGAACCCCAAGCTTATTACCAGGCACAATCGCAGCTTACCAGGGATGATCACCGTTTGCTAGTTCCGCCACTTTTGCAGCTCTTTCACGGACCCCCATCCCTGCAATCCCACTTCAAGAGCAGCCAGGATGGTCCACAATTAAATTCAAGATTTTGGATGCCCTTTGGACAGGAAAGACAGGAAGCTTTGGTTAAATCAGAACCAGAGGAGAAAACTCATCTGCGATATGAGGAATACGAGGCTAGATTGAGACGTCTCATGGACAATCGAGATGCTATCGAGAAGAATGTTATGAGGATAATGAGGCCAATACACTAAGATGTTACCTCTACCTAAAAGTATTCAATAAATTTTATAACTCTCATACTTAACACAAATTTTGTGTTTCCATAAATTCACAACAAAGCAAGCGAGTTAAGTACTCAAAGATTTATGTTTCCCAGTCTTCCAACATAGTTGGCTATCCGTTTTCCTGTCATCTGCTTACCTACAACCCCATTCATTCCAACTGTAGTATTCGATCCGATAACTTCTTTCCAAAATGTCTCCCATGAATTTAATATTCATTTATCTATCAATGCTGCTTCTGGCCTTTTGGCAAGTCGAAGGAAGACGCCTATCGAAGCGGCTGAGCTACTACAACTACGACGATGAGGCGGATAGCTTCGAGAAGCAATCGGACTTTCACCTGCAATCGATTGCTCCTTCGGAGGAAGAACAGGACAATATGCATGGAGTCCTACATCCCGATGATATGGTTTTTGGATATAATAATAATCACTTTAGTCGCAAGAAGCACCGTTCGCAGGTGAAGCCAGCTAGGAAGTACCCCGATGTTTGGTCAATGCCGGCCAACGAGAAACAGAAGGATGGGAAGCTATCAAAGAAATATGATTTCGACTTGAAGATGTTGGACGAGGAGGATGAACAGCATTGATGGGAGCCGAAGACTGCCAGAAACGATTTTTTGCTTATATTTTTTAGTTTTTCTTGTCTTAATTATTGTTGACAAAAATATACTTTTACACTTAACGTTTTGTTGAAATTTCTACAAAGATAAAAGGAAAACTCTTGGAAAGAATGAAGGCTTTTAGAAAACCTCAAAAACCTAATAGTAAACCTACAAATTTGACCTCTTTGATAGGTTCTAAAATACCTCCCTCACTTTCAAATGTATTTTGATAAATTGCTTCTCAAATCGCTTAAACTTTAAAGCCAAAATGCGAGTCCATATTCGCATATGGCAACATTCAATTTGTTGCTCAACTTTCTGCCACATCATCGAATCGAATCAACTTTGACTGATTTTCCTGTTGAGTCAGCTGGAAGTTCCCCCCCTTTTTCCCCCATCGCATTTTCTTTTGTGTCGACTGAATGTGTGTGTCGAATGGAATCAAATCGGAGCTGGGAAACTTTAGCGGAGGTGTCAAAGCCAGTCAATCATTCAGTGCACCCGGTGCTGCAGTCCACCCAACGATTCCTGTCTGAGTTCTGTCAAATTAGTGCAGCCTACAGTCGGTTGTCATAGTTCTCTGTTCCTGGAAAGCCTCCTCATCCTTTGCACTGCCTTCCGCCCACCACAGTCGGAAAAGCTTGAAAATTGTTTCTACTTGTGAGTGTGATTTTTGGGTTAAATAAAAGGAGGTTCACTCTAATCGGAGGTTTAGATACCCTTTAAAGTTATTTTCCAATTCTAATCTTCTTGGAAAAGGCAGTATTTCATTTTGAAAAATAGTTTTTAGGGCATGCCAAACTTTAGTTATTAAATAAAGAATATATTTTAATTTGATTTTTGGAATATAAATTATATAATTTACAAAATAAAGTGCACAGCACCCACCTATACTGAGTAACCCTTTGCTGAAGGAAACTTTTTTCACAGAAATTTCAAAACTTTCTTGCCTTTGAGTGTGTATGGGTGTGTTTGTGTATGCGACTTAGGAATGTGTGCGTGGGCCGGCATGTGTGTGAGCTTGTGGGTTTTCTTATTTGCCAAACGCTTGTCGCTCGACTTGCCCCGAAATGGCTCAAAGCAATTTTCAAATTGTTTTCACAATCACAACGAAATCGATTTGCAAATATATACAATAGCCCCCCCCCCCTCTTCCCGCCCTTTTTTAACAGAGCGAAATCTACAACAAGTGCCACGCCCATTTGGGCACAAAGATATGTATGTATTGGTGTCCTGCATTTGATGTTTTTCCTACTCCTTCCTATTCTTCTTCTAGTTACAATTATGTCCGGAACGCAGTTAAAATGTTTATGGGCCCAGCGTCAAGGATACGCAAGATTTGCTCCTCGGATTTCCGGCGATTTATTTCCGCTGATAAAGTGCGATTTGAAAAGCGATTTACGCAAAAACAAATCTCTCCTTTTGTCCGCTCAGCAAACCGATGGCTTTTATGGCCGTGTCAATTGTTTTGTCGCCTTTTCTTTACTGGTTTTATGAGTGAGACCTCTGCCCTTTTTTTTTTTTGCAGATTTTTCCTGCCTAGGCTTGTGACTCTGGCTCTGGCTTTGGCTCTGGCATGGGTATAATAACTTATCGAGGACTCAACTGAGTTGGCCGAAAACATCTACAACTTTCCCTTGTCGGTTTTTATTAAATTTTTGCGCCCGCGACGTTTAATAAACGAGAAATAGCTGGCATAGCATAGCGCCACATGGCGTATACTTGATGTGTCAAGCGCGGGGCAAAGGGACGTGGTAAATGCGAGAACCGCAGCTTAAATGCCAGTTTAAAGAGGGACGCAGAGGACGAAGGACGCTATATGGGCCATGTCGGCCCAAACTGAATTATGAATGAACGAAAGGTAGAAAAATGCGCCAGATGCGACGCCAAAAAACTGAGAAAAATTAAGAAAACTTATTAAAATATTTTCACTATTTTTGTGAAAAGAAAAGAAAGTTTAGCTAAAACCTATTTTATAGCTACAAAATCTTATGTTTTTTAACATTTTATCTATAAAATATATTTAAAGATTTTTTTTTTAGATTTTTAATTAGAAATATTATCTCTCAGAAGATAACAGAATGTAGAATGAAAATGTATTTTTTTAACAGTGCATCACCAGAATCCTTGCCTGCCTTGCACTTTGCACTTGTCGCGGCAAGGTCAGCGAGGTGAGCAGGGAAAGAGAGGGCTGAGTGGGTTAAATACAAGGAGGGTGGTGGAGGTAGCTGCTCGTTCTCGTTTGCTGCCGCTCTGAACTTGAACTTTGTCAGACCGAAAACAGATGCTGGCTGTCTGCTAAGTCGGCTTTAATTATGGCAGACAACACTTTGCACATGGGAAAAGCAGGGGGTGTTGGCCCAGCAGAGGGGAGCTAGCAAAAAAAAAAAAAAAGAAGAGGAGTGGAAGGGGGGGTTCAGCTAAAAAAAATACACAGGTCTTCAGTTACCGCCGAGCAATTAGAGGCGAGGCTACAAATTCTTCACACGCGCCGCACATAAATTCGCTGGCCAAGAAAGGGACACACACCGAGAGAAAGCCAGTGAAAGAGATAGACATAAAAAGTAAGAAAGAGGGATTGAGAGAAGGGGAAATGGAACTGAGATGGCGACAAGAATTCCCTGCATTCTGCCATATTTTCCGCTATTTATTTAAGGCCAAAACTTTGCCCCCGCCTCCGAAACTTGAACAACAAGTGAAATATGATGCCCGCCTTCACGCCTTACCTTTATACTATATATATATATATATATATCTTAAGATATATACATATATAAGGCTCGACATAATCATATTCATGACAATATAATGGCATCGTTAGAATGGGCAAAGAAAAGTCGGTGGCCTGGAAGTCCTAGGCAACCGCAGAAGTCGCTTTTCATACATATATTTTCCTCACTTTGCGCCAACGGCTATCCATTAGCCAAGTCAGCGGGTCGGTCTACCAAGAAGTCGGTCTATAAGGGGATGTTTTCCGGGGGTTTTCCAAGAGGGATGGTTAGAGCGGGAAGATTTTGGTTTACCTACGGGGGCAAACTTCATAAATTCAGCAGGACGTCAGCAGGACACGTCGAGGCTGTAAAGTTTTCCGGCTTCTAAATAATTTTATAACCACCGCTACCACGCTTTGGCGTACTTAATAATTGTAAACAATAATGGCAGAATGAATTATTATGAATCAAATAAAAAAAAAAAAAAAAACAAAAAAGGAGAACATAAACTTGATAATTTGATAAAATGCTAATAAGATAAATGACTTTTAGTAGCCAACTAATCATCATAACAATTTCCCTGATTATGATTGCTTCACTTTACTTTTGAGCAACTTTATGGCTGTTTTACTTTTAGTTCAGGTACTTAAATACTTTCCCAGCTTAAAGTTTTCTTATTTACTCTCCCATTTAAGCTCTTCTTTGGTTTATAATCACATTACACTTCCGCAGTGCTTAAAATATTAATAAAGAAAAATATATTAACTTACCGAATGCTGCTTGGTTTTTCGTTAATTTTCGTGTGAGTATTTTTTGTTATTTTTTAAAATATTTTTTTTGTGGTGACACATATACACATAAGTACATACATATATACATTACATATATATATTTCGGGCGTGTTCGTGTTCGTATGTATGTGTGTGTGTGTGTGTGTGTATGAGTTGAGTGTTGAGTGGATGTGTGTGCGTGTTGTTTTTCGAGGGGTTGGCGGGGTAAATAGAAGAGAAAAAGAAAAAAATATATATAAATTTTGTTCATGTCTATAAAGATATATATATAAATATTTATCAAATGATTGCACATTTAACATGATGAGATTTATTTTTTGTTTAGATTTTCTTTTTGTTTTTGTGGGAAATTCGGGAAACATGAGACGGGTCTGTATGTTTCTGTGTGTGGGTGTGTGTGTGTCTGCGTGTGTAGATGGCATGCAGAAAGCTAGAAAGAGACGGACAAAGGTCTGAAAAAATACACTAAAACAACAGCAACAGCAACAACAACAACAACGATATGAAACGACAAAAAGGGAAAACTCTAGGACTTACCTGGGTCAAAAGTCACCGGCAAAAAGAGAGAAAATCTAATAAAACGAAAAAGCTTTTGACAGGCAATCAGGGCTTGCCGCTGGCAGCTGTTAAACGCTGACATCTATTGATTTTGACAATAAAATATGCGTTTCCAAAGCGAGATTTGCACCCCTTTTCGAAAGAGGAATGACATATTAGAAGAGTTTGAGGAATTTTAAATACCCTTAACCCTCTGATAAGTAATAGTTCGATTTCCAATCAAATATCATCCTTAAGAACCCAAACACCTTGGTTAAAAACATAATTTTTATACAATTTTAACAGAGAATAGTTACAAATTTCTCATCAAATCCATTATACTCCTTAATAGAGCATTAGAGAAAGGGGTAAAGAACCCGAAACTTTATTCGATTGTTTGGCCCTCTGTTTCAGTTTGAGTTTCATTTTAATTTTATTTTCCTTATTCGCTTTTCGTTTTTGTTTTTGTTTTTCAGCCTTTGGAGAGAGTCCGTCCGCCTGTTGCCAACCAAACCGAATGTCACGTTTCGTTTTTATTTCAATTTGCAATGCGAGCTGGGAGGGCCCCACAAATCTGATTTTGAACTCAATCAAGCGTGTCAGGGCCCGACTAACAGTTACGGCCATGCCACGCCCCAATTCACGCCCCTCCCCTCTCATTCTCTCTCCACCAACGACACGTTAGAGCCACTGGAAAAACCACAGTGGTGCTGGCTAAATTGTAAAACCATTTTGGGAAACTCTTTAAGATTGTTAAGATCTAGTCTGGTTTGTGGACTTCCCTAGTAAGGTTTTAATTTTTTCCTATTTTTATAAAGCCTTCCTATGCCTTGCTTGATGTTTAATAAGCCTTAAATAGCTTAAACTTTCCCAGAAATGTTATTTTTATTCTTTAACCTAGATTCCTTACAACAAAAGAAGTTCCAACTCAGATCTATTATTCAATTCATCACCTTTAAAGGCATTTATATTTTTAATCACAATATCCCATTCTCACCACTGTCTGTCATGATTTAATGCATCGGCATGTGCTGCTGTCCCTGACAATGGCT